CCGCCGGAGCTGGAGCTGGCTGAGGCCCGTGGTGGTCTGGCAGCGGGCAGTTCGGCAGCCCGGCGGTGCCGGCCTGCCGCCGTTTCCCCCGGCAGATTCAAGATGTCCCAAGGCGGCGGGGGTGACCGTAACGCACCGCAGATGTTGGTCAATAACTCTTTAAATACTAGAGCTGCCTTCCCGTACCTCTCCGAAGGCAAGGATTGTGCTGAATGACCTTCCATGAACTATTCAATAACTAATATTCTTCCCTTCATAGTAAGTACCTGTGACTAAGCTATGTCTCAGCACTGTGAAATGACCAAATATGTTATTACTCTTCTCTGTTTTTTAAAAAAACCAAAACAAGTCGCTCGTTACAACATCTCACACCTCACCTTGAGCCAGACTGAAAACACAAACACCCCCGTCCTCTGTGAGTTTCTACACAAGGCCTGGTATAAGGAAACGTATCTGACTGGTACAACTCTAAGGCAGTGCCCCGTTCTCATCAAAAAAGCTGAAACGACGTTACCGTGTTGCCTTACACTTTGTAGGGCGCAGTAGTGTACGTGGCTGATGTGTTCTTTAGGGTGGCCCTGTGGAGCAGTCTCAGTGTTCTCCTTAAATTTTGCAGTGCTAGAATTCTCCATTTAATTTGTATTTATTTGTGTAACGGCGTCGGGGAGAGATGCAGTAAACAGATCTAAGGCAATCAGCCGCATCAAAAGGTGTATGTTTGGCATGGCAGAGGAGCAAATGTAATAGCAGAAGCAGTGCTGTCGTTGACAGCTCCGTAATCCTACACATTTAATAGAAGGTAAATATTTGCAAAGCAACTCGTATCGTCTTGCTTCCCCAAAACATTGTGGTCTTGTACATACGATGTATAAAGAAACTTTAAGAAGCTCATTTATTTATAAAGAGTCCAACTAGTTCTTAGTCCCCTCTTCACCGCTGCTTTACTCTTCTTTACGTCAAAATCCTGCTAGGTGGAGAGCAAATGCAGTATTTCAGCTCATAATGGCTGGAAGCGAGCCTTGGGAGACAAGCTTCCCACCTTGCTCTGGAATACTTTTGGACTTCTGCAATCTCCTCCTAGAATTATGATGTTATGAACATAATAGCAATAAAAGTACGGTTTCGTTTGAGCTTGAAGTATCTGCTGGTTTTGCGGGAATACCTGAAGCCTTTCTTACCCCAACTAAATATGACTCAAAATTTTTCCTGTTCTGGAGAAGAGAGATTTTAGTCTGAAGCTTTTCAGCTCCAGCATCAGACTTAGTTTCTGGTTTCACTCCAATGTTGTATCTACATAGTGGTTTTAAAGCCCTTTCTCCACACACTGTTCACTATGACAGGCACAGGGGAGGATGCGCACAGAAGGGCTGTGAGGAGTACAGACCAGCAGCTCTAGCTGTGGAAGTCCTGGAATCGTTCAAATACTGAACTATTTTTGTCAAGGAGAGCAGGCAGCGAGTGCCAGATCAAAGCAATGAGAAATGAAACCAGATGCTTTCCTTACCTAGCTGATGGATTGGAGCACTGCCTGACAGTAGGCGGTGCAAGCCTTCTGCTCCCGGTGTGTCGGTGAAGTCCTCATTGGAAATTCTGACAGAAACTTGGGCCTCCAGTCAGCGCAGCGCTGCGTGCCTCGTTTAGGAGTTGGGATCGTCATTGATCAAGGTGCTATTTCTGTATTTGAACACTGCCTCCATGATCTGCCCTCTGCTCGATTCCAGCTTTTTCCATTTGTAGATGGACTGCGTACATCATCATTTATCTTAGTATCACGTCTCCGCAAAATTTGGATAAGCTTTGGCCTCTCAGAGGGGGACCTTGGACGAAACTGAGCTCTTGCACTGTATTATAAAATAAGGAATGGTGAAACTGGATTTCTTAATTAATAAGACTCCTTAAAAGGAAATAGTAATTCCTTTTAAGTTTAGAAAGGTTTATCAACTCAGTTGATACAGTATGGAAACACGTAAATTAAAAAAGAAAAAACAACCTTGTAAAAAAAAAAGTAGGAGCTAAAATATACAGTAATACACCCACGTTTCACTTGTGACAGTCTAAAGGTACTTCAGAGTCTTAGTTATAGGTATAGTTTTATATGCTGAAGTTACCCCAGTTTTGCACCGTCTTTCAGATTCTTAATATAATGCTACTAACTGAAGAAACTTGAAAAAAAAGGATTTTAAAATACTGAATTGCAGTTAACTTCTTGGTCTCAAGAACCCAGCTTCTTGTGTTTACGGGGGGAAGCATGGTTCCATAGATGCGCTGTTATTTTTCTGTTTAATCCCTATGGGCTGGAACAAACGTGTATGTGCAAGTCATGATGCTGTAAAACAGTGTGATACAGGCTTGGCTACTTCTACCCCGGAGTATGAATTTCAGTTCAGGGCGGGCCAGTCTGATGAGCATTTCAAAACACTGATTTTTACCGAGGTTGCTCTAGAGTAATGATTAATGACTTACTGTCAGTCTCATTTCCCCATTTTGACAGCTAACAAATACACCCTCACAACTATGGTGCACAGAGTCAGAGCAGTTTTGTGGTCCCTCTAATCTGGCTTTTCAGGCACAGATTAAAGCAAAAGGCAAATTGAAGAAGAACGATGTCTCCCAAGCAATTCCTGACAGTGTAGCAAGAACTGAAGTTTTGTTAAGCTGTCAGTTTGAATATTTATCAGCACTAGAAACACATTTTTTTCTAAATCAGCAATCTTGTGCTCAAAATGTATGGAAATACCTAATGTGACAGTTGCATTACTATATTTTTGCTTCTTTTAATTTGTCTCAGGAGGTCGGAATTGAACAAGATTTACTCTTAGTTTGATTCAGGGCAGTATTGGGTGTTGGTGCTGTTGTCAGTAAGCTTTTTATTCCTTTTTTGGTTATACAGATGAAACTACATTCTGCATCTCCTGGAAAAATTGTTTGTGAAATGAAGGTGGAGGAGGAACATACAAACAGAGGTGGCACGTTGCATGGAGGTTTGACGGCCACGCTTGTGGATGTGGTGTCAACAGCAGCGTTGCTGTACACAGAAAGAGCAGTGCCTGGGGTCAGTGTGGACATGAACATCACGTAGGTATCATCCACCATGCTCACCAGAACACGTTTTGCTTGCCTTAACACGGTATTAGCTCCATTGTATGGTATTTCTCTGCTGCAGTACTCACTTTAAAAAGTTGTTTTCTTTGGTTTCAGAAGTCTTGTGTTTAAGAGACAATACCCATTCATTCATTCATTAGAATGTAAAGGGCTGTTGATAGGTGGTAAATTTTGGTCTTATGAAATTGGCTCAGCTTCTGTTTTCACTTGGGAAGATAGGTTAGAGTTTTTCGTCAAATGCCAAAATGTAGGGTAAGCAGCTTTCTATAAACCCTTTTTTAATATTAGTCCATGAAATGTTAAAACAGGAAACAGTTTAGCTCTGTTGTGTGCTCATCCAGAGGGTGAATTAGGGATTGAATCAGAATTCCTCACTGGAGTACGACTACTTTACACTAGGTTGTTTAAAGGTAGTTTTATATTGACAAGAGTTCTTCCCGAAAAGCAAATTTAAAGCACAGTGTCTTTAAAAAAGAAGTTATTCTGAAACCTTTGATGGCGCTATTGCAGCTTGTCAGCTTTGCTTCATTACTTTTAATGAAGAGATTATGACTGACTAGAACTAAAGTAATCCTACTTGGAGTAACTAACACAGAGCAGTAAAAATCTTGGAAAGTAATCCCTCATCAAAACGGTCTTAAAAAACACCCACAACTTTAAAAGTGTGTCTGTACCAGGTTCCCTCCTCCCGCTACCCCCCAGCATCCTCTGATTTCTCCACTGGGTGGGAGACTAGAGCACCTATTTAAGCGTTATACTGCCACTGTGATGACCAGGCAGTTACTGGAAACAAAAAGCTGAAATTCTCCTATCATTATGGGGTTTTTCCTACAGTACTATAACAAAAGGCCAACACCTGAATTGTTTCCACTGTCCAGTATGCCTACCCAATTACATAAGGGCTAAAATCTTGGAGTACTCTCTCTGGAGGTGATCCAAAATGGCTGAGTAGCACAACCTCTAGGACGTGTTACCTGAAGCAGTATTAACAGCTTTGTTTAACCCAGACCACTGCTTTCATTGAACAAGCTATGCTGGATGTCAAATATTGCTATAATACAACCTCTTCCTTTTTGGGAAGGAGCTTTTTATAAAGGGTTGTCACGAGGAAGCTATTTCAGTAATGGAAAGAACAGAGAGAAACAGGCAAACTTTTTTTTTTTTTTTTAAATCACAAGAGGATTGGCAGCAGCCTCTGAGAATGAAACAAGACTAAAACCCTGCCCCCCGTCAAGTAAAAGGCCTCGTGCTACATCAGCATTAGGCGTGACTGACATACTTTTGACATGGTGTCATGTATAAAAATGGTCTGGTTGATGAAGTTTCTCAGTAACATTTATATCCAGCAATTATGCATTCTCCTCTTACTCTAACATTTGAATATTGTTCCCTTACCTCAGATCATGGCTGGATCGTGTTCCTCCTAATTCTTTCCAGGCGTTTTGTGGGGAAATTTCTTCCTGTTCCCTGCAGAGTGTGTTTTAAAAGCACACCCTCCTACTCACATGAATAAAAACAGAGTTCTCCAGTGAAAGGAAACAGCATTAAACCTGGGAAGTTTGAATGCCTCCCAGATTTCCATGACTTTTCTCTGACCACGGTATGGAAAGCAGTTAACCTGTACTTGGGTTCCATACAGAAATGACCTTCTGGAGCCTTTGTAACAGAGACATTTTGCAGCTGAACCAGCCAGATGGGTTTGGAAAGGCTGTAGGGAGCCAGCAGTGGCTGGAATAGGACTCGGAGCTGAACTGTTAACTGAGAGCTGTGATCCCCAATTGTTCCTGTTCCAAAATGGAACAGAACTTGGCTCCTCAGAACCCAGCCAATGGGTTTATTTCTATCCTGCATTTTCTCAGAGAGCTCTTACACTGAATCACTACTGCAGCACTTAGAGAAGCTCAAGGGCTTTTACAAGGGGATTTGCAAGCAGGGAGTTAGGGAGGGATGTGTCTTACCACTCACTTTTGCTAATTCCCTTCACAATAATCTAAAATGCAGGGTTATTCTTGGATTTGTGCTCTGTACAGCCTCTTACCTGTTAATTTTGTTCTTCATTGAAGATACACCTCTGCTGCTAAGATTGGAGAAGAGATACTGATTACAGCTCAGATTTTGAAGCAAGGAAGAAATATTGCATTTGCCAGCGTGGATTTAACAAATAAGGCGACAGGAAAGTTAATTGCACAAGGTAGACACACCAAGTACCTAGGAAATTAATAGAAGCAATCTCAGAAACTGCCATGTTAGGCTTAAGAATCCCATATAGAATGATTTTCTCATTTACGCACTAAGATATCATCTGCACAGGGTTGTGATAGGGCTTCTGTATAAAAGTGACTTAGTCTCACTTCCATAATAAATGAACAAATTTCTTAATTACCACCAGTATTGCTACAGTACTGAAATCAGTGCCTATTTCGGGATGAACAACAGAGTGTGATAGCATGGGGATGGCTTTTTTTGGTCAAGAGACCAGAAGGAAAGAGCCTTTGGAGTAGCCATATGGTTTACCAGCACGACTCTTGTTTCAGGAGATTTGTTTTCCTTACCCGTGGTGCCGTCATGTGACAAAGCAGCCCTGTCTTCAGGCCTGTCACAGTCACATTCAAACACCACTGTACATGCTTGGAAACTAAACTGCTTGTTCTGAAGATGGTAGTACAGAGTTCCCATAACACAGTGAAACTGGTTGGAAAGCGTAAAGCAGGCTCATCCAAAATGGAACTCACTGTTGCTGTAACATCCAAAAGTATTCAATAAAGCTTTCTGTAACTACCTTTTAAAAGAACATGGAATAGTTTTGTACTCTCTCTGCACTGAGTAAAAGCGTGTCAGCGTGGAGCGGTTGAAAGAGGGTGTGGTGGAACCCTTGCACACAAATTCATCCGAGGTTTCTCCCATCATCATCTCTCTGTGATGTGAAAACGTAGTTACATCATCAGGGCTTTTCGCCTCTGCCTACCTGAAGTTCTGGCTGTTATTTGTTTAAAAATGATCAGCTGAGAGTTAGAGACGTATCAGAATAAATGTGGTTAGGCATGCATCAGGCTGAGGCTGTAGATTGTCTGACTTCAGGTTGAATTTGGTGGAGTTAAGCTGCTTTTCCTCAGCTGAGACTTGTCTCCTCACGCACTGTCGTGGGCAGGTTTAACTGATTTTTTCAGCCTGGCAGCAAACGATCCTTGGCACCGTTGTCACGCCGCACTGAAACCGGCGACGCCACATATGCAGCGCACAGTTTGCATAAGCCATGACCTTTGTTTTAAATCTTCCACTAGAGAAGAAAAACCATCCACACAAGTAAAGGGCACGCAAAATTCTTCGTGTCACGAAGTTGACTCATCGTCTCGAGCGATTTAAATTCTGTGATTAAATGTGCAGTTTGGGCGGGTTTTGTGCATTCCTAAACCTCAAGAAGTAATTCCCGATGAGTTAAGTGACCTGTTCAAGCAGACTGAATTTCAACATAAATTTGAACAAGTTTCTAGTATATCAGGAATCTTCCCCAAATGACTTTCAAACAAGTGATATAGCTGATAAGTTATTCTTCAACAGAGCTCTCTTAAAAAAACCCACCCATACTGGGCTCAGGCTACCGGCACGTAGAACGGTTGTTCGTAGCATTTACCTTCTCAACAACAGCTCCTTCTCTGAGGCTGTCACTGAAGCGTACACACCTTACATGACTGTGGCTAGCTGAACTTTCAATAGCAGCATCCTCTCTTCAGCAGTACGTTCATAACGACTTTTTCCCCAGTACTTGCACTCATGCCCAGAATCACCCCTGTAGAAACACAATGCTTCCCTAAAGCAGTTCTGCGAAGGCACTACAGCAGCAGCCGCTTTTGTTGTCAATCATTGCTCAGCAGAGCTGCTTGCCTTGCAGTACTGAACTGTTCCTGACTTTACAGCTCCCTCTGCCTGCAGATCAATCATTAGTCTTCAGCAGCTCCTCTACGATTACTAGGACGAGCAGAGAGACAAGATCCATCATAGCATGAGGACCACCTAGTGGGTTTAGCAATTGCTGTTGTGGTCATCTTACTAGGATGTCCTGGCATCTCCAATCATAATTTTTTTTCCCCCCTCATTCTTAAGTTCACCAGTTTTCTTCCATAGGTTACCCACGAAGTACAGTGCAAGAGGTGAAGGAAGTAGAAACGTGGATTAAAACTGCTCCCCCAACTACTACAAACCCATCCCTTTCACTGGAAGAGTAATTTTGACTATTTATCTGAAATAAAAGGGAGAGGGTGAGAATGGAGGAGGTGCCAAATTCGATACGTGCCAAAAGATTCAGAATGTGCTCAGCTCCGTGTGTTGGGGCAAGTCTGTCCTTGTCCAACTGTCCTGCTGCAGCTCAACACGACTTCCCTCGGTCAGCACTGGCTGGCTCAGGAAACTACTGCCATAGTTAAGTGGTCTCATTCTATCACTTAACATTCATCATGTCTATGTAATTCCAATTGAGAGGCATCCAGGCACATTAAGAGTGCCGAACCTCAACATGGAAACACAGGAACTTCCTGTTCCCATTCAAGCCTGGCAAGAACTGTCGCAGGCTGAGAGGAAAACAGGAAGAACACCCCTTTCCTGAAGTAACGAGTTGAGTTCTCCCTTGTAGCAGACTATTCACCACAGTATTTTAGTGCTAATTAGTAAGAAAGAGGGACATCATTAATATGCAGGCCAGATATTTTAGAAGTGGTTCATTAACCTGATTATTTTGAGACAACCTTGTCTGTCACCCCTCCACCAGCAGCAGCAGGCTGACCTCCATTTGTTTCACAACTTTGGCTTGGGGACGATCTCAGAAGGAATTGTCACCGCTCGGCCTGCTTAGCTTGGGGAGTAAACTGTCAAGCATCAGACAGCGCGTGGAAGCGTTCTTTACGGATTTCACCCTAACCTACATGTTGAAAAACCTGTATCCTAACCTTAGCCGAGGCTGAAAGGGGGTAACAGAAAACAATCGCCCTAATACAGACGAATGGCACACGGTCCCACCTGGCATCAGAGCAGACAGACCTCCTGTGGGGTTGACCCGGTTCCACCACCGCGGATTGAGATGCAGCTCCCTCAGGAGCACGCAAATCATCTCGCGAGCCTCGCCGGCACACCAGGTCGCAGACCCCATAGCTGACGGACATCTGTCAGCTCCCTGCCTTATGGCTGCAAACGAGACTGTCCCTCCCGTGCCGCGCTGGCTTGGCGGGGGCTTTAACCGTTCTGTTTAAACGTACCAAACGCCTACACTGCACCGCTCGGTGTCGGGGGTGCGCCCGCACGGAGGGCCCCACTTTTCACGCGGCCGCACGCGACGCGTTGTGCAACAGCTGCGGCTTTCTGCTTGGTGCAACAGACCGGTCAGCCAAGCGTTCCACGCTGGTTTTGCGCACTTCGGCGGAACCGCGTTAGAGATCCCTTGGGAAAATGAGGAATCGGAACAATCCCACCGGCTTTTAGAACCCAAGAGCCTAGACAGTAACTGGGGCGAATGCCAGTCGCAGATGAAGGTGCTGTGAGTAGGCGCTCCGTCACTAAGGATTCCAGGAAGAAGCAGCTTGTCAGTGATGAACGGGGGACGGGAGAGGGTACGGAAGGGTGTCACTGCTGAAACAGGCATGAAACAATGGCGTTTCCTTGCTACTCTGTCAGGTCGAGCTGCCCGTTGGCAGGGGTCTCACGGCTGAGCTGCTTCACCTCTGCCAGTGCAGCTACGGGCTAGTTGGTTTACAGTCCTCAAGCTGGCAAGCGTTACCGCCTAGGGGGGATGGGGGGCAGGGAGAATTAGGCTGTTAAGTAACTGTTCTGAACAGCCGTTCAGTTCTGTTCAGCTTCGCTGGCTGGCTCTGAGCTGCTGCCAGGGCATACAGGATTTCCAGCTGCGTTTTATCACTAACCATTTGGGAATTCTCTCTCAGCAGAAACCATCTAGCCAGTAGAAAGAAACCTCAAAAACCTCTCCCCTGTCGATAGGAATGGAGAAGAAAACACTTTTGATTCCCATTTCACCACTTAAAAAAGTTCACAGACAGCATGACGGTTACTCCCTTCCCGATTCTGTGATGCATTCACTGAGTGACTGCCATTACTGGATCCCCTGCTCCCCACCTGACGTGGCTGTGGGGCACCACAGCATGTACAGCTCCCACATAAACCAGATGTACAGCTCCCACATAAACCAGAGCAAACGACCTGCAAGCTCTCAAGACACACTGGCTAACCCCCAGGAAAAAAGCAACCAGCCACGCACCACACCAACCCGAAAACACCTACTTTCGTTCACCAAAACAGTCCCTGGGGCTGTACCACTGCGTAAGATTCTAGATCTTTGATTTCTTTTGCTTAAAAGCAGTAGCTGCTTGAATAGTTTTTCCAGTAAAGCAGCTCAGGGAGCGGGTGCTCTAGCATGCTGTGCTCAAATTAAGGCGTCTTTCCATGTGTAAATCCCTTCCAAGCAGAACTAGGTCATAGATATCTTCAGCCCCAAAAAGCATTTCAGTCAGCCACGCAGGAGAGAGGTTACGCTCACCACTCAGCTTGCTTCCATCAAGCTGCGGAGCTGATGGATCCCTCCGGAGCGTCAGCGCTGTACAGTCACAGCCTTGCCAGCTCCCAGCTGCGGCACACAGGGAGCGGAGGGAACTGCTGTTTCCTTCCGAGTACTCCCATCTCTGCCTCCGCGAAGAGGACGTAAACACCAATCCAGTACAAAACACCCAGCCCCTGTGCAAGAAATGGGGAAAGAGCCAAGGGAACTTCCAGCCGTAGGCCGAGAGGCCCTCTACACCTGAACCTTTTCACTCAGTGACACCGGCCTCCTGCAGCAGGGGAAGCAGCCCAGCAGGTACGGAAGGCGCCTATGAGAGGCCTCGCTGGCACAACACCAGCATGGCATCAGGTAGCGCAGGTGCAAACAACGGCCAAACCTAAAGTACACAAAAAATGAACTTCACGTCCTAAAGATGCCAAGGGACAAGTAACATCGGCCCTATGGTTTGGGAAAGGCTGGTTTGTAGGTAAGGATTACCAAAAAGTGGATCTGTTCCACAAAAGGAATTCTAGAATAAGCACCACTCGGGCTAGTACCATCCCTCACACACACACATTAGAGGTTTTTCCCTTTTGTAACACTATTAAAAGCCCTTTATCTCATTATTTCATTCCAGAAACTGTAGGCTTAAACAGCTTTTGAATTTGCTGCTGCAGTAAATGCAAAAGTGAAACCAGAAAAGCTTTTCCATGCTAACAAAATAGCCATAAAGTAAATTCACACCCCATCTATCTGCTTGGTGGATGCAAAGGTAGCCCAGCAACTGTTAACACCTACCCTGCTAGCAGCAGGAACCTCAACCTGGTCTTCAATTAATCCTGCAACAGTCCATCAGAATAA